CTATGATCAGCTCGTAGCTTCAACTGGGATTTGCTCCTCCTAAGCTTTTGATGCCTACCTCCCAGTTTCCGAAATTAGCCTGATGAGAAATCGGATCAAGTCAATCCAATCTTAATTAGGCTGTAGGTCTGGAAAATAGATTACAGAAAGTTTCTGACATCCTAAGTAGCCCAGGGGTTAAATCAAATTGGAGGGAGGGGGCCAGTTTCCTTCTTAGAGAACTAATGGCAAGATTCAATAAGAAGAAAACATCTCTGAAAAGTGCACCCATAGATTCTTTTTTGCAGAATCCCTGTTTCATAAATGAATTTAAAAAGCTTTCAGCTGAGGCCCTTTCTTCTCTATTTTTAAATTTTATTTTATCCTACTTCAAAATGTCTTATGCCCCAATTTTGAGTGTCTCAAAAAGAAACTTTTTTAAAAAAGGAAATTTAGCTGTTACTGTGTATGTATGTTTGATGTCCAAAATGAATTAAAACAATTGTTTCAGTTCAACCCTATGGAGAAGCGTTATTTTACAGTACTTGTTTCACTCCCAACAAACCACCATCTGTAGGCAAGGTTTATTCTTCCTTTACTCACAGTAGTTTTTGGATCAAATCAAGCTATGATCTCTGGTTTGGATGTAACACAGAGGCAGGGATTATAGGCTGCTTCCTTTGCATGGGAGCCACGTAGAGTGGAGAGGAGCAAAGTAGACACAGTTTCACTGGTGCATGGGGTACCTCAGGGCTGGGAGCCAAATGTGGCCCTCCAAATCCCTCTGTCTGGCCCTCCGGACTCTCCTCAGGCCACACCTCTGTCTCTCTAGGCCACACCCCTGACTGCCTGGTTCTGCATCCTCCTTGTGTGGTGTAGTGGTTAAGAGCGGTGGACTCGTAATCTGGTGAACCGGGTTCGCGTCTCTGCTCCTCCACATGCAGCTGCTGGGTGACCTTGGGCCAGTCACACTTCTCTGAAGTCTCTCAGCCCCACTCACCTCACAGAGTGTTTGTTGTGGGAGAGGAAGGGAAAGGAGAATGTTAGGCACTTTGAGACTCCTTTGGGTAGTGATAAAGCGGGATATCAAATCCAAACTCCTCTTCTTCTTCTTCTTCTTCTTCTTCTTCTTCTTCTTCTTCTTCTTGAGTGATTTTGCTTGGCTGGAAAGTTTTCATGAACTATGATGGTGTCTTTTACTTGTTTGGATGGAGGCTGACGAGAGAGGTGTATAGAAACTGACTTTTGTGTTGTCGGAATGAAACCTCCTGCACAAAGAGAAGAGCCACATCCACTGCTCTGACCACTTTTGCCTCTGACACTCGAACGCTGCCCCTGGAAGGTTGTCCATGAGGGAATGTAGCCCTCAGATGGCAAAGCCAAGTTTACGGTATACTATGAAGTGTGGACATGGCCTTAGTGTCCTTCAAGAATATCCAGCTTCTTTTGTGCTATTTCCAGGCACAGAAGAAAGAGGTCCTTTTATCCCATATGTGCCCACAAGGCCACTTTGATCAGAGGAATTGGCACTTTTATAGGTGCCACATAATACCTTTTACCATATCTGTAAGAACTCAGTTGTCTAGGACAGTGGCACCAACACTTTGGAACTCCCTGCCTATTGATATCAGGCAGACATCTTCACTGTACAATCGTACCTTGGAAGTCGAACGGAATCCATTCTGGAAGTCTGTTCGATTTCCAAAACGTTCGGAAACCAAAGCACAGCTTCTGATTGGCTGCAGGAAGCTGTGCTGGACATTTGGCTTCCGAAAATCGTTCAAAAACCACAATACTCACTTCCGGGTTTTGATCATTCGGGAGCCGATCTGTTCAGAAGGCAAGGCGTTGGGGATCCAAGGTACGACTGTATTCTTTTTGGCGCCTGCTGAAGACATTCTTATTTAAACAAACCTACCCAGTTGTTTAAGGGATGCGGGTGGCGCTGTGGGTTAAACCACAGAGCCTAGGACTTGCCGATCAGAAGGTCAGCGGTTTGAATCCCCGTGATGGGGTGAGCTCCCGTTGCTCAGTCCCTGCTCCTGCCAACCTAGCAGTTTGAAAGCACGTCAAAGTGCAAGTAGATAAATAGGTACCGCTCCAGCAGGAAGGTAAATGGCACTTCTGTGCGCTGCTCTGGTTCGCCAGAAGCGGCTTAGTCATGCTGGCCACATGACCCGGAAGCTGTACGCCGGCTCCCTCGGTCAATAAAGTGAGATGAGCACCGCAACTCCAGAGTCGGTCACGACTGGACCTAATGGTCAGGAGTTCCTTTACCTTTACTTTACCCAGTTGTTCAGAAGTTTGCTCTATTGTGGTTTTAACTTTTTGTTTTAATTAGTGGTTGTAAATCTTTAGCGATAGTTATATTGTTTTATCATTTGTGTAAATCACTTTGAGGTTTTTTCCCCTACACAGAAGCAGTATAGAAGTTGTATCTAACAACAAACAAACAAACAAACAAACACAATGTCATTGGAAAAATCCCATATTGTAAAGTTTGTTTGGTTGCAAGTGAATGAAGATGAAGAATGTTAACATATATAATAACACCTTTAGTGACACTTTTCATAAAAGATATATTTTCTTTGATAGTAGAGGCAAGCTTATTAGAATGTAGAGACATGTCAATCACACTTGTACTGGATTGCTGAAAACACTGATTTTATTTTACCCACCCATGTACCAACCCCAATGCCCCTAAATGTAAGAAAGCAAACCAAGTATGTAAAATTCAGACACTAAAGAGAAGCAAAGGGTTTATAACAAAAGGCCACAGAAATATATATACATATTATTCCAACCTTGTACAGAGCGGATTTTGTCTTATGAGTCTGAAGAATAAGAAAATGGCAAATAAAATACATTCAAGGTAAGGTGAGAAAATTATTATTCAGCTGGTTTAGTTTAGCATTTGGGTCTTCTTATTGTATTACACAACTCTACCAGAATATGACATCTCTGATAGATGTAACAGACCCCTCCCATAATTACATATTTATGAATATTCAAAAATATTGCCTATATGACTTTATTTCTGGGGTTTCCACATGCTTTACAAATTGAATGTGCAGCCAAACAGTTATGTGAAAATGAAGATATTGAGTGATCATGAGAATGATCAGTCTGTTGTGTGCTTTGGGCCAGACCATTCCATGCTATTGCTATACCGTCCAGTGACTGGGGTCAACACCACCAGGCCATTGCTAAGGGCCTGAGCCCTCACTGAGGAAGCACCACCAAATTCTGATTTGGCCCCTGAGGCCTGGTAGTCCTCTCAGCACTGGCTCCCGCATGACTGTGGGTGGCTCCTGTCATTTTAACCCCCTCCCCCAGTGTCTCTGGGGCTCCAATATAGAATTGCTTGCTGGCTGGACCAGCTTTTTCTGTTGCTGGGCCTGCAGGTTATCAAGGCAAGAGGGGCACCTGTGCAGTGCCAAGTGCCCCACTAAACCTGGCACTGATCCTGGCTTGTAGTCTCTGGAAAGCTTGAAGGTAATGCAGGCCACTCAAACAAATGAGTTCTTCTGTATTTGAAGGGTTTTAATAAATATAATACAATGTCACCTATTTGCTAATGAGCACTTATACCTAGTATTCACAATGTGCAACGGGCTCAGCAAATGAAGCCTCACCTTATTTATTCACTAATTCATCTGCAAACTTTTAGTGCAAATGTGACAAATCTGCACTGCTTATTTCACAATTAGCATCATTTCTCACCAGAACATGCTGCCCTGTCACCATCCTCATATTCAGGCCTGGGCAGACATCATGATCCAGTACTCTAAACCATGGTTTGGAAGTTTGGGAAGGTACCAAGTGTTCTTGCACTTTCTCTTCCCCCTCTCACCTCCATTGATGCACACTGAGCCACTCCATTATCAGGTTTCCACTAACCATAGTTTGTTGTGATGTCCAAAGATGGCAAACTAAGGGTAATACTTGCCTGCAAACTATGCCTTGAGACCATAGGCTTGCAAATCATCATTTGGAGTTAGTCCTGGTTATTGCTAATCACAGTTTGCCCAAGTCAATAATTATGGCAAACCATGGTTAGAAGAAATAAGGAAAGGGAGTGGGAACCGCCATAAGAAAATGCAAGAGAGAGACAGCTACTGCAAGCGCATGATGTTATGTCACGTTTCTGATTTTTCAAATTGTAGTCTGGAGGATCATCTTAACCAGACCAAAGTTTCCTCAATGACATTAAAATGCCTAGAAAAGGGTTCCGAAGAAGGATCTACCATGTAGAGGAATCTGCCCTAAGACAATCAGTGAGTTGACAGAAGGAAAGAGACTCAGAACACAATAGGTGTGTGATGCTACAAGTCCAGTATTCATAATATTCTGCACTTGGTCTAGTAAGAGCCTGTACTCCCTGCAGTCTCACGGCATATAGTAAATAGGTTCTTTTCCTGTTTCCAATTCCATATATGCTTGGCTGTGCGTTTGCAATGTTACTAAAAGTTGGAACATCTCACTTGCGATGAGAGTCTCCAAATGGTTTAGGTTAGCAGCAGAATATTAACATCAAGTAAAACCCTTGGAACACACAAACTCAGAATCAGAACAGACTATCCAGCCATATTCTCAAACTCTGTTACCAAAGAACTTCCTCTGTTCCAGCAAGTTCGTCTCTTTCTCCTCAGACATAAAATAGCAGACATACACCTACAAAGAAAGCATTGTGACTCACTAATCAGTCCCTTTGTGCCTCTGAGCATCAAATGACACTCAGTGTTCACTTTTGAGACTCTTCTAAGTCAGTCCCTTTTGATACCTGGACCAGCAAACAGGACAATATTTATTCATATGGTTATTTCCTAGCATGACTGGCCAGCCATGGCTCACATAGGTTAGTACCCGTGGTACTTTCAATACACGTGCTTCACAGAGTTGCTGGAGAATGCTTTCAGTTAAGCAGATGATTCTAGAATGAAAGGAAGCACTCTCCATTTGGTTACAACTGGAAATGCAACACACTGAACCACCCGCTGCCCCACACCACATCCTTCCGATCACAGAGATTTCCTCCTCTGCTCAACAATCCATCCTCCTGGGTTCACATCCATTTGTAGCATCTTCATCACCCACTTGTCTTTTCGGGCCCCGTCAATGAATTCATCCAGAGAAAGCTGCCCTAAAGAATCAATGCAAGAGAGACGTTTATCAAAGATGGAAGGGAACAAAGGAAGCATGCCCTCAAAGCTCTACCTATTCTGTACATCTGCATGCCAGCACTTGGGTCACTGTACCTCTTTGCCACCATGTGCTATGAGAGACTCTCCTGCCACCTACAAGCTGCCATTTTCGTTGTGGAGAGAGAAGGGAATGGGTCTCCTCATGCTAGTGGGTCCCAAATGGTGCTTCTGCACTTATTCATCATAGGAAAACAAGTTATCAGAATGTTCCAATATAGTCGCTTCAGATTCTTACCAACCAGGACTATTGAGTGTTGAGAGCATTTAAGTCAGCCTTAAGAGAGTTTTCACTTTCAGACACATTATTTGCTGAGTTCCCCCCACCCCGCCCTGTGTGCTCTTCACACATTTTCAAAGGAGTCGTGAAGTGCCTGAGCAAGTCTAAAAAGGGAAAGCCAAGAGTAGGTGCTCAGGTGCAAATCAAACATTCAGCACCAGCAATGATTGGATATGATGGTCCGCAGAAAATCTGAGTAAAGGTTCAAAAATGTAGAAGCTTTTATGTAGAGCAAGGGTGGTGGGACCTGTGGCACTTTGGATATTGTTGGACTCCCAGCTCCAACAATCAAAAGAAGATCAGTCTCAGCCAGCAGGGTCAAGGGGCAGAGGTGATAGGAGTTGTAGTCAAGCCATGTCTGGAGGACTACAGGATCCCCAACCCTGATCTAGGGAATCATAGAATCGTGGAACTGTAGAGTTGGAAGGGACCATGAGGGTCTTCTAGTCCAGCCCCTGGAATGTAGGAATATTTTGCCCAACATGAGACTTGAACACACAACCCTGAGATTAAAAGCCTCATGCTCAACCAAATGAGCCACCCAATGCCCTTACATTTTAAATGAGTTGACTCGGGCTGTACTAAAATGCATACAATGCTCCTTCCTGAGAGTTTTGGTGTAACCATTAATCATTGGAATGGCATAAGTATTACAGATCCAGACACAAATATCACCCAAAGTGAAAATTTCTTACCATCTCCATTCTCATCCACTAATTGAAATATCCTGTCCACAACTTCTTCTGGAGTGAGACGAGGTGTCCCTTGCTCTTCATCAGGCTGGCATACTTGCTTAAGCCTGTAAATAGACTGGAAGAGAGAAAAACAACCATGGTTTTTAGAAAACAAACAAGCAAACAAACACTTGCTGGTAAGAGAAGACCAGAAAAGAAAGCAGCTTAAGTTTCCGAGACAGAGATGCAGAAAAATCTAATGAATATTTTGCTCACATTTGTAATCTGGGGAAATAATCTGTGCATGTCAGGATCTGAGACACCAGGAAATGGCACAGCAAGAGACAGCATGTCAGATGGGGTGGACATACACCTCCACCTCCTCAATTTCCTTTAGGTAAGTTTTGTTCATGGTCACTGAGTCAGAACCATCTTGAGGATTAGTATGTAACGTCTCCCTGTCTGCTTTGCTGGGACTTCAGTGCAGTGTACCTTGCTTTCTCCTGTTGGTTGCACAAGGAAACAAGCACCCGGGATGCTCTGAACAGAAAAAACAGCTAGGAGGTCTATTTGTAGCAGGAAGTGAGTGGGCAGGGAGAGAGGTTAAGGATTTACCCCTTCTCTGTCCATAGTTGCCCTTCCCAAAATGACTTCCAGATTTTTTTTTTACAAGACCACTAGGCTATTATGAGATGCAATCACATGTAATGTATACCATTTGACCCATGCTGGTCTAAATTATGATCTAAACAAAATACATTGCAATGCTGTTCCTGAGCTCCTTTATTCAGTGCACTGGGGAGGAAATAAACCAAAGGCTTGCTTGCCATTATGTGCAAACCAATGCTCATGATTTGTTTTTCTCCCAACCAGCTACTTTGGAAAGCTATGGTTTGTTTTAGGCTTACCATCGTGGTTTGTTAAGAGAGAAACGAACTATGAGTGCTGGTTCACACACAACAGCAAGCCAGCCTCTGTTTTCTTCTTTCCCAGCACACAAAAGAAAGGAGCAGAGAGGAGAAGCATGCTGCTCATTCACATTAAACCACAACTTAATTTAAACAGCACAATACTTTAATGCGGTGTGCGGATTGGTCTTTGCAAACATGACAAGTTGATGGAGCTGTTGTGTGATTAAGGACTAAGCTCAATGGCCTTTGATCACTTCCAACTCTGTAATCACCCATCCTCCTCTAAACCACATATTCTCTTTTTGAACACTACTTTTTCTTAGTCCTGTGCTTAGGATAGCAGTTCCATTCAAATGTAAGTGAAAATATAACTTCTGTATAAAATAGAAATGGAATGTGTCATGTGACAAAGAGGTTGATAAAGATAGTGAGGAGCTTGTGGAACAAGACCTAAGAAGAAAGCTTGAAGCGGTTAGGTATGTTTAGCCCATGAAAGAGATGATTAAGAGGCTTTATTTATTATCATCATCATCAAATATTTGAAGGGCTATTGCACAGATGATAGAGCAAATTTGAACTCTCTTGCTGCAGAGAGTATGAGCAGGTTCAAATTTAAATAAGGTATTTAGACTAAACATCGTATGTTGTTCAAAAGTGGGACAAACTGCCTTAGAAAGTGCTGGGCTCTTCTTTGTTAGTGGTTTTTAAAGCCAAGGTTGGGTGGCCACTTATCAGGGGAGCTGGAGTAGTGGTTTTCCTGCCTTGGCACGTGTTGGGAATACATTTGAAGTTCCTTCAAACTTCATGATTCTCCATTCTGATGGGTTTGTGGGTTTTTGTGTTTTTTGCAGTTTTGGGGATTCTGAGTCATGGCCTCTCTTTTCCCTTCAGGCTTAAGAATTAGAATTCTCTTCTCCCCTCCTTGGCTTTCTTTACATCTTTCAACAAGGACCAGGCATCTCACCAGACGGTGGATTAGCAAGGGCATGACCCAGCTATGGCCAATTCTCTGCCGACCTTAAAACTGGGACTGTGAATCTGCCTAAAGCAGACCTCTTTGCTGGCACAGGTCATTGGCTGCTTATCTTCCTGATGCTTATGACTCACCAAAGGAATTATGGCTTTGTTTTACTTGAAGCAATCAACTACTGGATGCAGTTGGTCTTGGATACGGGAAAGAAAGAATGGCTAGTGTGATAAGTGCAATGGCTTAGTCCTGATTTCTCTCTCTATAATCCTTATTCTTACATGTTTTAATGCTAGCTGAAGCAAGAAATTTTTCCAATAAATTTCCAATCACTCCTTTACACTGTTTGCTCTTTGTTATGTATGCCGTGTGTGTAAAAAGAGCTCCTCAGATCACATAGCATTGTTTTTATTTTCTGGTATATATTACCAAAAACAACAACAACCTAGCTGCATTTTCTCCATTTGGATTGACACTGTTCTAATCTCCAGGGACCTTTACTTGTCCACTGTGAACATAAGAGGGTGCTGGATCACTAAAATGTACAAATTACTATTGGAATGGCATCTAAAAGATGAAGAAGTCAAAGCAGTAATGATACATTGGGCTAAAGATATAGGACATAATATACCAATAGATGATTGGGGGAGGTTATGGAGAGAGGGAATAAATTTTACTGCCTGCAGTGCATTAAAAGAAAATATAATGAAAATGATGTGTAGATGGTACGTAACACCAGTGAAACTAGCTAAAATGTATAAAACGAATAATAAATGTTGGAAATGTAAAGAAAAAGAGGGCACATTTTACCACATGTGGTGGGAATGCAAAAAAAGGGAAAGACTTCTGGGAAATGATCTATAATGAAAGCAAAAAAATGTTGAAATATACAATTCCAAAAAAACCAGAAGCTCTTTTACTGGGTATGGTAGATACAGAAATTCATAAAAATGATAAAAAAAAACCTGTTTTTATATGTGACCACTGTAGCAAGAATACTATTAGCCCAAAGATGGAAGCAAGAAGAAATGCCAACAAAAGAAGAGTGGCAAATAAAATTGATGGACTACTTCGAGCTGGCAAGACTTATAGGGAAAATTCAAAACCAGCGGGAGCAGACTTTCCTAAAGGACTGGAAGAAATTTATATTGTATTTGAAAGACAACTGTAACTACCTGTGATGGGATGATGAGCTGCTTGTGCGTAAAATAGTATCCCCTCAGAGTTTGTTCAAGTCCACAAACCTCTGTCTGTGACGGAGCCCCTCAGACATGGCTCCTCTAGTCACTAGCAGATTCCGACAGTGGTTGCTTTCGGAATCGCTTCCAACATAAAAGCTCCTTAACGGAAACACGTCTTCTGGACTCTCTGCGTGACAGTTTCCGGCGAGGAGTGGGTGTTCCTACAGGAGGTCCTGAAACCTCCCCACTGTTTTCGCTGGAAGTGTCTCTGAGCCATCCCTCCAGCTCACTTTCCCTCAGCTCAGCTCCTCGCCCCCGACTGGTTCCCTCTTCAGCTGCTGAGTCTCTCCCAACCTGTGTGAGCCCTTTCACCTCCCGTCCTTCCGATGGCAGTTCCCTGACATCCACCTCCCTCCAGGGCCCCTTTCACCCCCTCTCGCCCTCCTCTACGGGCGGTGAGGAGGCAAACCCCGGAATGAACTTCCTTCATCTTCCGATGTCTCGAACACTTCTCTCCACCTGTTGCGGTTCCTGGTCTCGAAGTACTCCTCCTCCTCAGAGTCCACCGCCCTTCCCCCTTCCGAGTCCGGGAATCCTTCCAACTCCTCCCCCTCATCAGTGGTCCTAAAGTATTCCCTCCGGAACCTCTCCACAGGCTGAGGTTTCCTTGGGAACCTTTGATGGAACGTTTCTATCAATACCTCGTCATTGATATCTTCGGCCATTACCCAAGTGTTTTCTGACTCCGGTTCTCCTTCCCACGCTACCAAATACTCCACCTGATCCCCCTTCCACCTGGCGTCGAGGATTTCTGCCACATGGCTGCTGCATTCTCTTTCTTCTATGACCGGTCCCCGAGTGGCCATCCCTTCTCGTTCCCCTTCGTACGGTGACAGTAACGACCTGTGAAATACTGGGTGCAGTTTCATGTGGTTGGGTAACCGGAGCCTGAAAGCCACTGGGTTGACCTGTTGAATGACCTCAAAGGGACCCAACCTCCTGGGTCTTAATTTCTTACAACCTCCTTTGAACGGCAACCCTTGGGTTGACAGCCACACCCTATCTCCCACCCTTATGGTTTCACCTTCCCTTCGGTTCTTGTCTGCCTGCCTCTTGTATTCTTCCTTCGCCCTTTCTAAGTTGAGTTGGAGCTGACGATGGATTGCTTCCATTTCTTCCACAAAATGCTCGGCTGCCGGGACGCTCCATCTCTCCCCATCTCCCCTGGGAAAGCCCTGGGATGACACCCATAATTAGCCAAGAAGGGGCTCATCCCTGTGGACACATTCTCGGCATTGTTGTAGGCAAATTCCGCCAGCGCCAACTTTTCTACCCAGTCATTCTCTCTGTCATTGACATAACACCTCAGGTATTGCTGGAGGACACCGTTTGCTCTTTCCGCCTGCCCGTTGGTTTCAGGGTGCCGGGCAGTCGAAAAATTGACCTCCACCTGCAGTAAGCTCATGAGCTTCCTCCAGAACCTGGAAGTAAATTGTTTTCCTCGGTCTGAGACCACCCTCAATGGCACCCCGTGCAACCTAAAAATGTGTTCTACAAATAACTTCGCTGTCTCTTCCGCCGTGACTGCATGCGAGCAAGCTACAAAGTGGCACATCTTTGTTAGTAGGTCTACCACCACCATGATGGCTGTTTTCCCTTTGGACTTCGGCAGATCAGTCATAAAATCTATCGACACTGCCTCCCAAGGTCGTTCTGGGGTTGGTAAGGGTTCTAATAGCCCCGCCGGCGCCCGCCTTTCCCTTTGGCTCGCTGGCATTGCTCGCACCCTCTTACATACTCACGTACATCTTCCTCACCTTAGGCCACCAAAATTCCCTGGTGACCAACCACATGGTTTTGTGTTGTCCAAAATGCCCCGCCGTAGGGCTGTCGTGCAACTGCTTGAGTACCCTCCCCTTAAGTCTCCTTCAGGGATATACAGTGCCCCTTTGTAATACAAAGCTCCATTTCTTTCCTCGAAACCCCTGGTTCCTCTCCCTCACCCCTAAGACCTCTGAGCTTATTCTGGGCGTATTCATCATTCTCTGTTTCCTCTACCAGTTCTCTTTGTCCCACCAATGCCGCCCCACACACCCAGCGGTCCTCTGGAATGACATGTCTCTCTTCGGGTGCTCCCTCCCTCCAAATATTCAGGTTTGCGTGAGAGAGCGTCCGCCCTAATGTTCTCTGGGCCTGGCACGTAACCAATCTCAAAGTTAAATTTGGAGAACTCCTGGGCCCATCTCACTTGCCGTTGGTTGAGCACTCGTGCCGTCCTCCAATACTCTAGGTTCTTGTGGTCAGTGCACACTTGCACCTTATGTTGTGCGCCAATTAGCAGGTGCCTCCATCTCCGGAACGCCTCATGAATGGCTAGTAGTTCTCGGTCATACACCGTGTAGTTCCTCTCGGATTTGTTCAGCTTTCGCGAAAAAAAAAGCACACGGTCTCCACTCTGACTCCTCCTTCCCTGGCTGCAGAAGCACCGCCCCAATCGCTCTGTCTGATGCGTCAGTTTCCACTCTCATCGGTTTTTGTAAATCCACATGCAGGAGTTGTTGTTCCGAGGCGAAGGCCCTTTTAGTTCCTCAAATGCTCGCTCCGCCTCCTCAGTCCAAACGAACTTCTTCTTACTGCTGAGACAGTCCGTAATGGGCGCCGTCAGGTGGGCAAAGTTTCGGATGAACTTACGATAGAAGTTCCCAAATCCTAGGAACCTCTGCACATCCTTCCTTGTTTTGGGTGTTTTCCATTCCAGCACCGCCTGGACCTTGCCGGGATCCATGGCCAATCCCTTGTCTGACAGGCGATACCCCAGGAATTCCACCTCCTTGGTATGAAACTGACACTTCTCCAGTTTCACCCACAGCTGGTTGGCTTGCAGCCTGCTCAACACTTCTCTGACGTCTCTCACATGCTGCTCCTCATTCTCAGAATACACCAACACGTCGTCTAAGAAGGCCACACAATTCTTGTAAAGCAAAGGCCCCAGGACGTGGTTCATAAACGATTGAAAGCATGCGGAGCCTGCTTGTAGGCCGAAGGGCATAACCAAATATTCAAATGCCCCTAAAGGGGTGAACATGGTGGTTTTCCATTCATCCCCCTTCCTTATTCGTATCAGGTTGTACGCCCCCCTTAGGTCCAGCTTTGTGAAAATCTTTCCCTTCCGCACCCTTGTCAAAATGTCGTCAATCCTGGGCATAGGGAAGGCCACTGGTTCTGACACTGCATTTAAGGCCCTGAAGTCACACACCAGCCTCGGCTTGTTCGTGTTTTTTTATCCACAAAAACACTGGGCTGCCCCCACCGCCCTGGACTCTCTGATGAACCCTCTCTTCAGGTTCTTGTCAATGAACTCTCTTAGCTCCTGCATCTCTCTGTCTGACATGGCGTACAGCTTGCCTACAGGGAGCTGTGCCCCAGGGAGTAAATTGATTTGACAGTCAAAGGGTCTATGCGGGGTAGTTGGTCAGCTTCCTTTCGCTGAAGACGTCGCGGAGATCTGCGTATTGTCGTGGTACCTTCACGTTCTCCGTTACTTCAGTCCCTGCTAGGGTGGCTTGGGCCCCTGCCAAACCCTTTCCCTCTTTGCAGTGTTCTAAGCAATGTGCTGAACCAAAAGAAACCACTCTCTGATGCCAGCCCACCAGCGGATCATGTAACGCTAGCCAGCTCATCCCCAATATAATGGGAGCTCCTCCCAAGGTGGCCACATTAAACGCTATCAGTTCGGTGTGCCTTGCCACCTTCATTATCATTGGGACGGTCTGCAAGCTGACTTCTCCTCCCAACAGCTCCCTGCCATCGATCGTGGTCACCTGCAGGGGGTTGCTTAAAGGGATCGTCTGTATCTGGTGTTCAGCTGCAAACTCTTTGCTCATGAAATTGCAGGAGCTGCCTGAGTCCAACAGCGCCTTTATCTTTAGAGGGTGTCCGTTTGGCAGCTCTAGCGCCACTTCTATCACTAGGGCGGGTTTAGGAGGTTCTGGCGTGGGCACTCTCACTGCTCTTTGGCCTGGCTGCTGTGCCCCGACGGTGGCAGCCAGGCGTTGGCTTTTACTTGCTCCGGTATTTCTTCCTCTCTTCCCTCCACAGCTCCTACCATCCCTTGCCATTCCTTCCTCTGGGGGCAGACTCTGGCAAAGTGACCTGGCTGTTGGCAGAGATAGCATTTCCGGGCGCGCTTTTCCCTCCTTCTTTCCCCTCACTGGGCTTTGAAACTGCGCGCGCGCGCTGTTCCGATTTCCATCGGCTCTGCCGGCGGGAAAGTTGGCTCTGGAATGTCTGGAATGCGGAACTCCTTCCAACGTTCCCCTTCCCTTCCCGCCTCTCCAATGCTCTCGCCTCCTGGCGCGCTCCTATGGTCAGCGCTGATTTGGTCAGCTGGTCCATAGACTCCGCCCTGGGCGCCCGGGAAAGTTCGTCTTTCACAGCCGAAGAAAGCCCTTCTTCAAAGAGCATTTGAATGGGTTCCGCCGATAAGTCCCACCCCAATCTGTGAACCAGCATGGTGAACTCAGTCCAGTACTCACGGACAGATCGGCTCCCTGTTTGCAAGCCATTAACTGTCTGCGCACCACTCCCTGTTCAATATCGCTGGAAAACATCAGATCCATGGCGCGAAAGAACTTCATCGTGTCCTTTAGGACGTCACTATTCGCTGCCATCAGGGGTCTAACCCAGTCTCTCGCCCCTTTTCAAGATGCCCAATCACGAAAGCCACTCGTGATTCCTCGTCAGGGAATTCATCAAACTGCAGATTGAGGGCATATTGCATCTCTGTCCGAAAGCCATGATAGTCTTTGGGCTCCCTCAAACTTCTGCACCAATCCTGGTACCTTTCTGGCGAGCTGGGTGGCTTTCCCTTTTGTCTGCATCCTGAGCCCTCCTCTCCTCAAGCCTCGCCGTCTGCAGCGCTAGCTGGACCTCCAACACCCGGTACCTTTCTTCCAGGCTTGGACCCGCTCCAGCTCCTGCTTCTCCGGTTCCGGCTGGGTTGCTCATGATGCCTTCTCCTGCACAAGCTGCTTTCAAAGACTGTCGGAATGCTGTGATGGGATGATGAGCTGCTTGTGCGTAAAATAGTATCCCCTCAGAGTTTGTTCAAGTCCACAAACCTCTGTCTGTGACGGAGCCCTCAGACATGGCTCCTCTAGTCACTAGCAGATTCCGACAGTGGTTGCTTTCGGAATCGCTTCCAACATAAAAGCTCCTTAACGGAAACACGTCTTCTGGACTCTCTGCGTGACAGTTTCCGGCGAGGAGTGGGTGTTCCTACAGGAGGTCCTGAAACCTCCCCACTGTTTTCGCTGGAAGTGTCTCTGAGCCATCCCTCCAGCTCACTTTCCCTCAGCTCAGCTCCTCTCCCCTACTGGTTCCCTCTTCAGCTGCTGAGTCTCTCCCAACCTGTGTGAGCCCTTTCACCTCCCTTCCTTCCGATGGCAGTTCCCTGACATCCACCTCCCTCCAGGGCCCCTTTCACCCCCTCTCGCCCTCCTCTACGGGCGGTGAGGAGGCAAAACCCCGGAATGAACTTCCTTCATCTTCCGATGTCTCGAACACTTCTCTCCACCTGTTGCGGTTCCTGGTCTCAAGTACTCCTCCTCCTCAGAGTCCATCTCCCTTCCCCTTCCGAGTCCGGGAATCCTTCCAACTCCTCCTCCTCATCAGTGGTCCCAAAGTATTCCCTCCGGAACCTCTCCACAGGCTGAGGTTTCCTTGGGAACCTTTGATGGAACGTTTCTATCAATACCTCGTCATTGATATCTTCGGCCATTACCCAAGTGTTTTCTGACTCCGGTTCTCCTTCCCACGCTACCAAATACTCCACCTGATCCCCTTCCCCCTGGCGTCGAGGATTTCTGCCACATGGCTGCTGCATTCTCTTTCTCCTATGACCGGTCCCCGAGTGGCCATCCCTTCTCGTCCCCTTCGTACGGTGACAGTAACGACCTGTGAAATACTGGGTGCAGTTTCATGTGGTTGGGTAACCGGAGCCTGAAAGCCACTGGGTTGACCTGTTGAATGACCTCAAAGGGACCCAACCTCCTGGGTCTTAATTTCTTACAACCTCCTTTGAACGGCAACCCTTGGGTTGACAGCCACACCCTATCTCCCACCCTTATGGTTTCACCTTCCCTTCGGTTCTTGTCTGCCTGCCTCTTGTATTCTTCCTTCGCCCTTTCTAAGTTGAGTTGGAGCTGACGATGGATTGCTTCCATTTCTTCCACAAAATGCTCGGCTGCCGGGACGCTCCATCTCTCCCCATCTCCCCTGGGAAAGCCCTGGGATGACACCCATAATTAGCCAAGAAGGGGCTCATCCCTGTGGACACATTCTCGGCATTGTTGTAGGCAAATTCCGCCAGCGCCAACTTTTCTACCCAGTCATTCTCTCTGTCATTGACATAACACCTCAGGTATTGCTGGAGGACACCGTTTGCTCTTTCCGCCTGCCCGTTGGTTTCAGGGTGCCGGGCAGTCTAAAAATTGACCTCCTCCTGCAGTAAGCTCATGAGCTTCCTCCAGAACCTGGAAGTAAATTGTTTTCCTCGGTCTGAGACCACCTCAATGGCACCCCGTGCAACCTAAAAATGTGTTCTACAAATAACTTCGCTGTCTCTTCCGCCGTGACTGCATGCGAGCAAGCTACAAAGTGGCACATCTTTGTTAGTAGGTCTACCACCACCATGATGGCTGTTTTCCTTTGGACTTCGGCAGATCAGTCATAAAATCTATCGACACTGCCTCCCAAGGTCGTTCTGGGGTTGGTAAGGGTTCTAACAGCCCCGCCGGCGCCCGCCTTTCTCCTTTGGCTCGCTGGCATTGCTCGCACCCTCTTACATACTCACGTACATCTTCCCTCACCTTAGGCCACCAAAATTCCCTGGTGACCAACCACATGGTTTTGTGTTGTCCAAAATGCCCCGCCGTAGGGCTGTCGTGCAACTGCTTGAGTACCCTCCCCTTAAGTCTCCTTCAGGGATATACAGTGCCCCTTTGTAATACAAAGCTCCATTTCTTTCCTCGAAACCCCTGGTTCCTCTCCCTCACCCCTAAGACCTCTGAGCTTATTCTGGGCGTATTCATCATTCTCTGTTTCCTCTACCAGTTCTCTTTGTCCCACCAATGCCGCCCCACACACCCAGCGGTCCTCTGGAATGACATGTCTCTCTTCGGGTGCTCCTCCCCTCCAAATATTCAGGTTTGCGTGAGAGAGCGTCCGCCCTAATGTTCTCTGGGCCTGGCACGTAACCAATCTCAAAGTTAAATTTGGAGAACTCCTGGGCCCATCTCACTTGCCGTTGGCTGAGCACTCGTGCCGTCCTCCAATACTCTAGGTTCTTGTGGTCAGTGCACACTTGCACCTTATGTTGTGCGCCAATAGCAGGTGCCTCCATCTCCGGAACGCCTCATGAATGGCTAGTAGTTCTCGGTCATACACCGTGTAGTTCCTCTCGGATTTGTTCAGCTTTCGCGAAAAAAGCACACGGTCTCCACTCTGACTCCTCCTTCCCTGGCTGCAGAAGCACCGCCCCAATCGCTCTGTCTGATGCGTCAGTTTCCACTCTCATCGGTTTTTGTAAATCCACATGCAGGAGTTGTTGTTCCGAGGCGAAGGCCCTTTTAGTTCCTCAAATGCTCGCTCCGCCTCCTCAGTCCAAACGAACTTCTTCTTACTGCTGAGACAGTCCGTAATGGGCGCCGTCAGGTGGGCAAAGTTTCGGATGAACTTACGATAGAAGTTCCCAAATCCTAGGAACCTCTGCACATCCTTCCTTGTTTTGGGTGTTTTCCATTCCAGCACCGCCTGGACCTTGCCGGGATCCATGGCCAATCCCTTGTCTGACAGGCGATACCCCAGGAATTCCACCTCCTTGGTATGAAACTGACACTTCTCCAGTTTCACCCACAGCTGGTTGGCTTGCAGCCTGCTCAACACTTCTCTGACGTCTCTCACATGCTGCTCCTCATTCTCAGAATACACCAACACGTCGTCTAAGAAGGCCACACAATTCTTGTAAAGCAAAGGCCCCAGGACGTGGTTCATAAACGATTGAAAGCATGCGGAGCCTGCTTGTAGGCCGAAGGGCATAACCAAATATTCAAATGCCCCTAAAGGGGTGAACATGGTGGTTTTCCATTCATCCCCTTCCTTATTCGTATCAGGTTGTACGCCCCCCTTAGGTCCAGCTTTGTGAAAATCTTTCCCTTCCGCACCCTTGTCAAAATGTCGTCAATCCTGGGCATAGGGAAGGCCACTGGTTCTGACACTGCATTTAAGGCCCTGAAGTCACACACCAGCCTCGGCTTGTTCGTGTTTTTTTATCCACAAAAACACTGGGCTGCCCCCACCGCCCTGGACTCTCTGATGAACCCTCTCTTCAGGTTCTTGTCAATGAACTCTCTTAGCTCCTGCATCTCTCTGTCTGACATGGCGTACAGCTTGCCTACAGGGAGCTGTGCCCCAGGGAGTAAATTGATTTGACAGTCAAAGGGTCTATGCGGGGTAGTTGGTCAGCTTCCTTTCGCTGAAGACGTCGCGGAGATCTGCGTATTGTCGTGGTACCTTCACGTTCTCCGTTACTTCAGTCCCTGCTAGGGTGGCTTGGGCCCCTGCCAAACCCTTTCCCTCTTTGCAGTGTTCTAAGCAATGTGCTGAACCAAAAGAAACCACTCTCTGATGCCAGCCCACCAGCGGATCATGTAACGCTAGCCAGCTCATCCCCAATATAATGGGAGCTCCTCCCAAGGTGGCCACATTAAACGCTATCAGTTCGGTGTGCCTTGCCACCTTCATTATCATTGGGACGGTCTGCAAGCTGACTTCTCCTCCCAACAGCTCCCTGCCATCGATCGTGGTCACCTGCAGGGGGTTGCTTAAAGGGATCGTCTGTATCTGGTGTTCAGCTGCAAACTCTTTGCTCATGAAATTGCAGGAGCTGCCTGAGTCCAACAGCGCCTTTATCTTTAGAGGGTGTCCGTTTGGCAGCTCTAGCGCCACTTCTATCACTAGGGCGGGTTTAGGAGGTTCTGGCGTGGGCACTCACTGCTCTTTGGCCTGGCTGCTGTGCCCCGACGGTGGCAGCCAGGCGTTGGCTTTACTTGCTCCGGTATTTCTTCCTCTCTTCCCTCCACAGCTCCTACCATCCCTTGCCATTCCTTCCTCTGGGGGCAGACTCTGGCAAAGTGACCTGGCTGTTGGCAGAGATAGCATTTCCGGGCGCCTTTTCCTCCTTCTTTCCCCTCACTGGGCTTTGAAACTGCGCGCGCGCGCTGTTCCGATTTCCATCGGCTCTGCCGGCGGGAAAGTTGGCTCTGGAATGTCTGGAATGCGGAACTCCTTCCAACGTTCCCCCTCCCTTCCCGCCTCTCCAATGCTCTCGCCTCCTGGCGCGCTCCTATGGTCAGCGCTGATTTGGTCAGCTGGTCCATAGACTCCGCCCTGGGCGCCCGGGAAAGTTCGTCTTTCACAGCCGAAGAAAGCCCTTCTTCAAAGAGCATTTGAATGGGTTCCGCCGATAAGTCCCACCCCAATCTGTGAACCAGCATGGTGAACTCAGTCCAGTACTCACGGACAGATCGGCTCCCCTGTTTGCAAGCCATTAACTGTCTGCGCACCACTCCCTGTTCAATATCGCTGGAAAACATCAGATCCATGGCGCGAAAGAACTTCATCGTGTCCTTTAGGACGTCACTATTCGCTGCCATCAGGGGTCTAACCCAGTCTCTCGCCCCTTTTCAAGATGCCCAATCACGAAAGCCACTCGTGATTCCTCGTCAGGGAATTCATCAAACTGCAGATTGAGGGCATATTGCATCTCTGTCCGAAAGCCATGATAGTCTTTGGGCTCCCCAAACTTCTGCACCAATCCTGGTACCTTTCTGGCGAGCTGGGTGGCTTTCCCTTTTGTCTGCATCCTGAGCCCTCCTCTCCTCAAGCCTCGCCGTCTGCAGCGCTAGCTGGACCTCCAACACCCGGTACCTTTCTTCCAGGCTTGGACCCGCTCCAGCTCCTGCTTCTCCGGTTCCGGCTGGGTTGCTCATGATGCCTTCTCCTGCACAAGCTGCTTTCAAAGACTGTCGGAATGCTGTGATGGGATGATGAGCTGCTTGTGCGTAAAATAGTATCCCCTCAGAGTTTGTTCAAGTCCACAAACCTCTGTCTGTGACGGAGCCCTCAGACATGGCTCCTCTAGTCACTAGCAGATTCCGACAGTGGTTGCTTTCGGAATCGCTTCCAACATAAAAGCTCCTTAACGGAAACACGTCTTCTGGACTCTCTGCGTGACAGTTTCCGGCGAGGAGTGGGTGTTCCTACAGGAGGTCCTGAAACCTCCCCACTGTTTTCGCTGGAAGTGTCTCTGAGCCATCCCTCCAGCTCACTTTCCCTCAGCTCAGCTCCTCTCCCCCTACTGGTTCCCTCTTCAGCTGCTGAGTCTCTCCCAACCTGTGTGAGCCCTTTCACCTCCCTTCCTTCCGATGGCAGTTCCCTGACACTACCTAACGTGGCTTGTAGGATTGCAAGAAGTTTTGTAAGGAGAGCTATTCAAATTATTGTGAGAAGTATTAAGATTAGTTGACGTACCACAGATTCCGGCGTATAAGACGACTTTTTAACCCCGAAAAAGAGGTTAAAAAGTTGGGGGGTCGTCTTATACGCTGGGTATGGGTGGCGGGTGGCGGGCTCCGCACCGGGAGAAAGACCGGCCTTATAAGATGAACCCCCAAATTGCAGCTGCCAATTTGGGGGGGGTCGTCTAATACGTCCAGTCGCCTAATACTCCGGAAGCTACGGTAAGATTGGATTTAAAACAATAAGCATAGTAATAAAATGCACAATTAGAAAGGAATTCAGAAAACCATCAGAAGGGGTTGATGGAAGCCCTAGGCTATGATAGCCAAGGATTTGTTATGTAGTGTTGGAGATGTTGTGTTGAAAAATTGTGTAAAACTTAATAAAAATTGTATTTAAAAAAGAGAGAGAGAAAGTGCTGGATCAGGCCAATGGCCCATCTAGTCCAGCATCCTGTTCTCACCGTGGTCAACCAGATGCCTATGGGAAGCCCACAAGCAGGATCTGAGCACAACAGCACTCTTCCCACTTGTGAATGGAAACCGATTACCATCTCCCGCACTCTGTTCCTTCAGACTGTCTGGAATTCACTGCTATCTCTCAAGATTGTGTTGCAACCTTGTTCGAATACAGTGGTACCTTGGTTTGCAACCGCTTTGGATTACAACCGTTTTGGATTACAACCACATCAAACCCAGAAGTGCGTTTCCCTTTTATTTGGATTACAACCCATTTTTTTTAATTACAACCAATTTGGGGGGGGGGGGGAGGCCCCATTAGCAAAAGCACACCATGGGTTACAACCTGTTTTGGTTTACAATTGGACCTCTGGAAGAGATTATGGTTGTAAACCAAGGTACCACTGTACTTTCATCATGATCAGAAGCATTACAGGAAGGCCACTGCATCACATCCAACTTGTCAGTCTTTGATAATTTAGAAGCTGGATCCTTTCCTTGATATTGAAGCCCATTCCTTGTCACTACCCTTTCTGACCATGCACATAAAGTTAAGAAAGCATGACGTATGCATATTAACATGACAGACAAAAAAGTTAAGATTTTTACTTTTTACCATCAATAATATCGTTTGGAAAACCTCAGTGAAAGTGAACAGAGCAGAACAAAGGCACCATTTTTTAAAAATCAGATTTCAAAATCCCAGTCCGTTTCCAGGTCCAGGTCCAGTTTAAGTGCCAGTTTTAACCTTAAAGCCCTAAATGGGGTTGTCCAAAAGACCACATTCTCCTATGTGTATCTTCCCAAAAGCTTAACATTTTCATTGGAGGCTTTGCTCCTCCAGTGAGGGCCTTTTCAGTTGTGGCACCCTAGCTCTATAGTCTTTCCAGGGAGCCTTTCTGGCACCATCTTTGTGGCCTTTGAGGCACAAGAGGAAGATTCTGTTCACCCAGGTATTTAAAATAATCTATGTAGCCTGGACCAGGCTGAAATTCATACTCTGGGTGCTCCTACTGCAGCTTAATGGTGTGATGGGGTCATTGTGGCATCTGCAGCCCCGATGCTCCCATGATGGGAGGAGGCAGGCAAATTGCTTTGGGTGATTGTATGATGGCTCTCCTTGGGAGTCCTCCGGGCAGCTGCTGCTGTCGCCCCTGATCTCTAAGCTTCCCTCCACCTCTGCTCCAAAGAGAGGCCTGGGAAGAGGATACCCCCAGCCTTAGTGATCCAATGGAGAATAGCCAAAAGTGACCATGAGGCCAGCAGCTTACCTTGGGAGGCAGCTGTGGGCACTCAGTTCCCAGGCAGGCCTTGCACTCAGCAAGCACAAGAAAGGCCACAGCAGCGCTTATCTGCCCAGCCTCCCAGCAGCAAGGGCTGGTGGACTGGCTGGCTGGGCTCCCTTGCCTGCTTGCTTGCTTACTCCGAGGCCACCTCAGCTTCTGGTAACCAGCACCCCCTGGCCAGCCTGAGAGGCACCATTCGTTTGCAGAGCTTGTAGCCAGGGCTGCTGCAACAAACAGCTGTGCAAGCCTTTCGGAGGCAGAGACATGAGAGGGGATCAAAGGAGGGAGGGAAAGAAAGAAAGAGGGGCAGAGGCCAGTGTTGCCCGCGACACCACTGACCATCCTTCAAGGCACCCCAGGGTGCCACGGCACACTGGTTGAAAACCACTGCTGTAGGCAAAGCCTGTCAGAATCAGGATACCCCCCTCCCAGCTAAATGGGATTTGGATTATGGTGCCCATTTTTCAATCTGTGTTTTAATTTTGAACTTATTTCTTTATATGTACCTTTTGTTTTTATGATTTCATGTCCTAGGTTGCATTTAAATTGTTTTGTTTTGTCTTATGTATTGTAAAAAAAAAAAAATGTTATACAAATGCTACAAATAAATGAAACAATTCAAGAGGGAAAGTGAGCAATCAACATCATAGGTCTCTCACTCACAGCAGCAGACCTAGTGTCATGACAGTACCGGACACTAGGTTTCACATATCTCTATGGATGGCTGAAATGTCCCATTTTTGAGAAACCCTGCAGCAGTTCTTCAAGCAGGACTGGGTTTACAGAAGCTTCCAAACTCAAGTTATGAAATCTGACAGAGTGTCTGGCAGCAAATACTAAATTCCTACTCACCTCAACTATTTCTAAGAGCTCAGGTTTGTCTATGCAGCCGTTGCCATCCTTATCATATATTTTGAACGTCCACCTCAGTTTGTGTTCCAACTTCCCTCGTAAAACAAGATTCAGAGCAGCCACATATTCTAGGAAATCAATGGTGTTGTCCTGTGGATTAAAAAACATGGAGGGGTTAATTTGGAAAGGGTGAAGCAAAATGTAGAGCGAACTTGTCAAAAGATCTTAAACTAATGGAAATGGAGTTAGAATGATGGCTGCATGCCATAATTTCAATTCCCTGATGAAATCTAAACGTAGTCATTATGATATTTACTCATGTGCTATCTACTTTTGTTTTCTCCTATAACCTTTGGCTGACGTAATTAATCAATGTAATCTTAAAATCTCTTAGATTATCATTACCAACCAGTTGTGCCTTACGTCAGGTTTCTATATTTCCAAAAGGCATCCATTCTTCACTTAGTGCTTTGTCCCAGGAAGCATTTGTGCACCTTGAATCCTAATTGCAAGAAGTCTTTGTGGTAAAGTCCTTCCTGAGGCCAGGTCCCATCTCCATTTCTGGAGGCAGCAGCTGCCCAACATTTTGTAGCAAAAATACATCTTATGTTATCAAGCACACTACCTTGTGCAGAATCCTGTCATCAAATGAAGTTATCAAGTACATTTCTTCATGCTTGGTACCATGTGTCTGCATGCACACACGTTTATCCACACACCATGTCTTATTATTGTGTCTAGCATATGTTATCTTCTGACTTGTTTTCAGTCTTAGGATAGAGGGAGAAAGCTGGAACCCTTCACTACATTAAATGCAGGCTGCAGCAGTAGGCTTTATTTGGGTTATTTGTAAAAGTCTCTTAGAGAGAGCCTATGTGCATAAAGAAGCATGTGTGGTCACCACCCCTGGTGTAACGTAAAAGATTCTTCACTTTTGAATCAGGATGTCTTCCCACTTTTTGTGTGTGTGCTATATTCCAAATGATCAGCATGGCTACAATGCTTTGCCAGCTATTTAATGGCTGACAGAAGGCAATATTTATTGCCTTCCTACTGAGAAGAGAAGACTCCCTGGAAAAGACCCTGGTGTTGGGAAAGATTGAGGGCACAAGGAGAAGGGAACGACAGAGGACAAGATGGTTGGACAATGTTCTCAAAGCTACTAACATGAGTTTGACCAAACTGCGGGAGGCAATGGAAGACAGGAGTGCCTGGCATGCTCTGGTCCATGGGGTCTCGAAGAGTTGGACACAACTAAACCACTAAACAACAACACTGTGTTTCACTCTCACAAGCTTCATTCTTACCTAATGGTTTTTTTTGTTTTTTGTTAAAGACTATATATTGTTTGAAAACTTACTTTAAAAGGTGGGGGGGAACCTTTGGAGTTGAAAGAGTAGTTTCTACTCTTCCCAGTGATCCTGTGATACAACCTATTTCAGGACAATCTAGTCTAAAGAGTTCCTTGGTTGTGGCAGTAACCCTGCAATGGGTGATCTAATGTCTAAGTACTTAAGTTTTAGATTCTAACAAGGATAATTTGAAGATCTTTTAAAATTGATTCTTATCACAAAACTCAGCTAATAAAAAGTAACTTTAATTACATTTGAATTTTGAAAATAGTTGAGGATTAGACCTTTAATCTCAGAACACAGCAGAGACTAGTGGTTTCTGTGGAAGTGTGCAACGATTCCAAATGGTTCAGTCATCTTTTGTATATTTGAAACAACAGGTGTGGACTTGGGCTATGTGCAAACTATACCTTAAAAGCACATTTGAGCACGTTCTTTCCATTTAACGAATTCTGGGGACTATAGTTTTCTCTCACAGAGTGAAAATTCCTAGCAACCCTTAACAAACTACGATGCTCAGATTTCTTTGAGTGAGGGTGCTTTAGATATGCTTTGGATGTGCTTTAAAAGTATAATGTGTGGTACACAACCTTAGCATTTCTATACTATATTGTCACTGGCATTCTGTCCTCCTTGCTCCTGTTTGGCCATGCTGAGGTCATGTTTCCATTGTTTATCTAATCCTATATGAAGCGTATAATCCCTGCTTACTCTTTTGACTTTCTTTTCCTTACTTGGCATATCTTCTTGACTTTTGACCCTGCACTATTGACACCTAGTTTCCTTGATCTATATAAACCTGATTTGACTTCACTATCTTGATCCTCGTTTGGTGCTGATACACAACTTTGCTTCCCATGTCTGGCTTTCTGGCTCCCATTTTGATGTCAGTTTCCACATTCCTCTCCCTACACAGAGTACCAAACACCTGACACCATATTCTATATTGACAAGTACATGAACTGCCTGCATGGATTAGTTGACCTGAATGGCTACATGAATGGAGAGTTATTCTCAAGAATCTTCTCCACCAAAGGTTCCATTCAGACAGAAACTGAATCGGTTAATTCAGATGGCAACTGTGTCATACATGCTGAGTGTCCCAGAAAAATGGGGCAAGACTGTGGCGGCCATTTTGAGTGCTGCTCTCTCTTGCACTCTCGCCCTGAAAAAGCACTTTTTTTCAGGCCAAGATTGCAATGCAGGTCACGTGACTCACCTGGGAGCATGTCGCAGAAGACGTGTGTCCTGGTTTTTGAAATGAAAAAGTTGGATGGTGTGCTGTGTTTTAGAAACACTTCATACCATTATTTGTTTGTATTAACATGTTAGATAGAAATCACATATTCATATGTTATATTAAAAATCACAGGTTCTGCCATTGGAGGACACTATGTAAATACAGTGGTACCTCTGGTTACTGAACGTAATTCATTCCGGAGGTCCGTTCTTAAGCTGAAATCATTCTTATCCTGAGGCGTGTTTTTGCTAATGGGGACTCCCACTGCGCACGTGCCTCTGGCGCGTGATTTCTGTCCGCATCCTGGGGCAAAGTTCGCAACCAGAAGCAGCTACTTCCGGGTTAGCGGAGCTCGTAACCTGAAGCGTTCATAACCTGAAGCGTTTGTAACCAGAGTTACCACTGTACAGAATATAGTGCCTTTTTCTTTGGTTTTAAAGAAGCACTGGAAGTTTGAAAACAAATGTATTTTTGCTTATTCTAAATCTTAATTGGCCCTCTGCTTGTCAGCTTCAAATATAGCCTACATTTTTGTTTGTCTTAATCTGGCCCCTAGCATTGGGAAAATATTGTAGAACTAATGAGGAATCAAAATGAATCCATCACCAATGCACTATTATTTTGTCAAGGATATGTTGCAGAATACACCTGTAATAAAACTCCTAAAGGTAGGAGGTGCCTACAATCTCTATGTCTGGCTTTCCTGTTCTTGTCCTGCATACCATTTAACTGTACTGAACAGGAACAATGGACAGTATCCTCCTTCTCAAAGCCAGTCTTTGGCATCCTGACAGAAGGAAAGAAGAGAGCAGGATTCATTATTGACAGAATCAGGCTTTGTGAGATAAGGATTAGAATAAGTAGGGAAGACAGTGCAGCTGCTGTAGCGCCCTCCATAACTAGTCTTCAGACTGTTTTCAGTTTTAGTTTTTCATTACATCCACTCAGCTCTCTGTATAGCACAATCTTTATTTAAATTTGTATATGGTCAAATCTGATTGAAGCCAACTTCCCTCAAGAAGAAAAGTTATAGAAGCTTGCTTTTCCAGTTCTTAAGCATTGTAGGAGCTTGCTCTTCCAGTTTTTTAATTGTGAGCCATGCAGTGATAGGTCTGCTATAGCTTCAATTAGCTGGGCTTGATCTTCCTGCCATTAAGATATATGTGAACTGACCTCAGGGCTGAACATATACTTATGCTAGGTAGACCATGATGTCCTGTCATTCATACAATGTTCTCAAAATTGGAGCATACACCTAAGACAGTTGGGATTTTGCCAACCCCTGGAGCTTCCATTTACTATGAGAAATAGCAGAAATCGGCCACTAACACCCTTAAGTGTCTTTACAAAGCTTAAAGTGATTGCCAGCCCAGTCTAATGGGTAAGGCTTAAGCTAGAGGGTGCAAGCAATAAATTCCTCTGCAGTCCCCAAAGCGCATTTCATCATATTTCTTCACATAGAATCCACTGCTTTCATTGCTGTCAGCGTTGAGCAGTGCACCTCTGTGCTCTCCTTGGGAATTTTCCTGCCTCTTTTCCCCAAGCCAATGGCTCATGTCTGGCCCAGAAGCACTTAATACAGAAGACTTTATGGAAATTCTTGCAAGGCAAGCCAGTTCAAGCTGATACTAACATTGAAACAATCAGATCAAATTCTACTACTCTTAGGAGTGGAGCACTTTTTCATAAGATCAGACCATGCAAAAGCCTATACTCCCATTCATCTCTCTCTCTTGGGGTCTGTTCACTTTTTATATTTCAGGCACAAACCTCAAGCTGGTATGAAGGATGGCCTCCAACAATGCAGCTCTGCTGGCACAACAGATTTCTATGAGCACACAGAACTTGTGCTCGGGTGTCACTTGAGAATCTGTTTGGCTACCGTGAGAACAGGATTCTAGACTAGATGGGCCATTGGCCTGATCGAGCAGGCTCTTCTTATTCTCTTAACTTCTTCTTCCTCTCCTCCAGCCCTTGTGCCCCCTTGAAATCAGCTCTGGAGAACTGGGGGCAGCTAAGAAGCAACTTGTGCCAAGAACCAAGCTTGTGCCAAACGTATTGCTCTGCTTTCCTTTGGAGCACATCAGCAAGGCCAAGAGGTGGGGGTCTTGTTGTCTGGACAGCTCAGGAGCTCCACACACACTGCCCAGGCTTGCGCCTCAGGAAGGTCACTTCAGTGCTGCTAATATAGCAAAAACAACGCAGGAGGCAGCAGTTACGAGTTACCAGTCTCTGCAGCCACAGCAGGTGCTGTGATTCTCCAGTGGTTTGATGTCACCTTGGAGGCACACTCCATTGTTTCCTGAGACGGGCAGCATAGCTGTCAACTTTTCCCTTTTCTTGCGAGGAATCCTATTCAGAATAAGGGAATTTCCCTTTAAAAAAGGGGAAAGTTGACAGCTATGATGGGCGGATGCCAACAAGAACAATCTATGCTATCCAACTGCATATGCATCTTTCTTTCCCCTCTGCTCTTACCCTTGCTGTGAATTAGTTAAAGCTTGCATTCAGTATATGCAGTTGTACAATGTCAAACTAAAAAACACCCAACATACAAA